CGGATCATGACCCCTTGCGGCAAACTCTGTCTATGCTATATTTTTCGACCATGCGCATTTTGCTCCTGGTTCATAGTTTTAAGAGGTTTCTTGACATAGATTTTATGTTCAGTTGTTTCTCACAAACGGTGCCAATGAGATGATTATAAAATAACCTTCGTGTCCTCTTAGTGACGCGATGTGTTTCTGCTACTTTGATGAACGAATGTCACCTACAAAATGAGGTTGGAGCTTTTTCACCCGTTGTACCTCGTGTGTGAAAATTAATAGGTGATTTAGGAATGTAGGAAGAAAAAATAGAATGTGTGTTCAGATAGCCAAAAAAATTAAAATCCATACATGTCCTACCTTAGGAGCATTTATAGGTGTCTAAAGCCATATAACTGTTGGGGGATTATCATGCCACGTATCCCACATAGTATTTTCCACTATTCCTACGTTCTGAGTGGTGGCTCTCTACCTATCAAATGGTTAGTTGTGTCCATACGGTTCTCAAGGGTCCCGCCCCGTTTATTTTTTAATTTAATTTAATTTTTTTTAAGAATTCAATAATCTAAATGGAAAACTCGACGAAATTCCATTAGTTCTAATAGAAGATGACAACTAAAATTATCTAAAAAATTTGACAAACAATAAAAACATTAGTTTATCAAATATATTTGAATAATTTAACTTTTAAAAATAAATTAAAAAATATATTATTGTCTCACTTTAATGAATGTGAGTACATGGAATTTAATGAGCACAAAATAATTAGCAGTAGGAACCATAATCATACTTCATCACTGTTAGAAATATGTAATAAAATCTGGAAAAAACTAATGAACTCCAAGGCACGAAAAACGTTATCTTTTAAGAGATGTTTCTCCCCTTTCCAACAAAGTCACGATCGGAGTATGATAGAAAATCTCTCTCAGGATACAATGGAAGCGCTTGATTCAAATTGTGACTATTTGATCAAACCAAAAAAATATTTTATAAAGAAACTGATGATGCCAAGAGAAAAAAGAGAAGAATAAAAAATAACGAATTTTTTAATATATGTCTTGCAAATGAGAATTCGCCCAAAATATATAGAAATGGAGGCAACCTTTTGAATAGGTGTGTCCCTTGAAATGAATGGACGCATCTGTTTGAAGAAACATATCTATTCAAAGTCTTCTGAAAATAAAATTCTCTTTTGGGGGCATTGCCCCCGAGCCCCCACGGGGGCCGCTGCCCCCCTCGACCCCCGCGACCTAACCGGGCAGATCGATCCCCGTTGCGTAGCGACAAACACTAGTCGAAGAGGCAAAACATTCGCAAAACAAAAGATAACACATTCAAAATGATGAAAAATATCTAACAATCACATACAAAATTTAACCAATAACTTCTACTCCAAAACCAACCCATAAAGTAATGTATACACACATACGTACATGCAATGACTTACTTCTTGGTTGCAAATAACGTGAAAGTAGGTGCAAGAGTTAATGGGGTTCGGATCTCAGTTCTGAAGCACGTCATTCTAGTCGGACAATGAGAAATTTGATGGACTTTAAAATTTATGTAATTCACGTTTAATAGACAAAATAAACTGTTGACTCCACCAATATAATTTAGTACAAATTGGTTATTATAACCAAATAAGTTATGTTTCAAAATCCTAAATAAAAGTTCCAATAAGACTAAAGTTAATGTCAAAAATAAAAAATTAGTCTCGTTATACTGAATTTAATTTATTGAGTGCAATAAATACTGGCACAACAATAGCACTTCATCGCCTGACAACCAACAACCTGTTTTAATATATCATATATTTGATACCGAATGATCATATTATATCATATCATATCTTTTATTAGCATAACATTTATCAACATGAAGAAATAAACTTAAATTGGACAAAGCACTTTCACCTCGTATTCTTACCTCATTAGATCAAATTAATTTTTTGAAAGAGAACCAAAATCACGTTTCAACTTTATTTTCTGTCTGCTGCCTGTTTGAAAAATTATATTCTATGGTGATAAAAAATCTGACTTCTATCAACCGTAATTCTCTGACTTTTTCTATGGAGAAAATCTGTTGTATTCATGAGGTTATATATAGGACAAGTCTCCTATAGAAAGTGGAAGTCTAATTCACCCAAGACCTCTATCCAAATCAACAATTATGTTAGATGTACATTAAATTTGACATTGTTATGATGTGACATTTTTTACACAATGATCTTCACAATACTTTAACCAATCAATAAGGCAGATTTTGACAACACTTGAAGTGTCGTCGTTAATGTACACAAATGATATACAACTAGTTTAATCCCCAAATCAAAGAAACAGAGACTGCTTTAGCTCAATCTGAACAGACACGTGGCTGCCAACACTTTCATAAACAAAAGTAATAAAATAATATTTAATGACAACTTCTTTAAATTTCAATAACTTAAGCTTCACTTATCCGAATTAACTTTCTCTCGAATCTAATATACATGATTAAATACGAGTTGTCCAACGAACCCAATATTGATATATTTATCATCGCTCTATCAATATCTAAATGTTTGGTCCAAATTGAATTAATACATATATCACTTTAGTCCCCCAACTTTTCGAAATAATAATAATATAGCATATAGAACAAATAATTTTATTCTGTAAAATATTCAGGCTTCACAATCTTTCTTTTAGTGGACATGAGGAATCTGAAAATTGAAACAATCAAGGGGATTTCCTTGTAGTATTGTATTCGTCATGTGATCATAATGCTAAGATTAAGATTGTTTTCTTTGAAGAATGCACGTGTAAATCTCAAATTAACCTCTCAAGATATTCAAAATGATGATATGAGTGCTATTGTTTTTCAAACAATGAGTGGTATTGTCAACGATATTGGTGATATATTATCTTTTATTCTAGTTGATGAATCTCTGTGATATTTTAGTGAAGGAACAAATGTCAATGGTCTTACGATATGTGAAGGATGGGCATGTAACGGAATGTTTTATTGGCATCAAATAAGTTTCAAGTACCACAACTGTCTCACTTAAGGCTGTTATTGAATAGTTATTCTCTAGATGTAGCTTAAGTGTAATTAATTTGAGAGTTCAGGGTTATGATTGAGCTAGTAATATGCGAGATGAGTATAATACTCTCAAAGCACTATTTTGAAAGTGAACTGAGTGCTTACTACATTCATTGCTCTGCCCATAAGGTTTAACTAACTCTTGTAGCTATGGCAAATAATCATGCGGAGATTGATATGTTTTGTGATTTGGTTTATAGTTCGGTGAATATTGTTGGAGGATTGGGTAAGCATTATGATCTTCGAGAGAGAAACAGCGACCAAAATTTTTTGAAGCATTCGATGCTGGCGAAATATCAAGTGGACAATGCCTTAATCAAGAAAAGAGGTGTAAGTGTTGTGGTTATACACGTTGGGGCCCTCAATACGGTTGTTTATTTAACTTGATTTGCATATTTTCAAGCATAATTGATGCTGTTGAGGTGATTACTGATAGTATAAATTGTGTTAAAAAGGCGAAGTTTGTGTTTTATTGAAGGCAATGTTGAAATTTGAGTTTGCATTTAGTCTATATTACAAGAAAACTGTTTTAAGAATTTCAAATGAATTATCGAAAACATTACAAAGGGAAGATGAAGAGATCATGAATACCATGGTGTTACGCCTTATTACCGAGGCTCAAGTCAAAGTGCCACATAGCAACCCACATGGGTAGAAAAGTCAACAAAGACCTAATTGTCAAAGATAAAGAAATCATATGAAAGGCTGAAACTCTTATGTCGAAGGACTACCTAAATGGTTGAAGTGTGTGAATCTGAAGTACTACATAAAGAAATCGAAGAAGCCGAAGCTCTTCACACAGACGAGCAATACTAAGATTCCTCTGAGGCCCTTAATTTACCTAAAGCTCATGAAGCTGAAGCTGAAGCTGTCTCTTACAAGATCCTTAAGCTTTCTTTAGAAATGATTGATGTATTGTTTGTAATAAAGAATGTCAGGTGTGTCAGCTTATTGTATAGGGAGGCTGATCCATTGTCAATGTATTTATTGTATGATAGATAGTGATGTGAAGCCTCGATTGTCAATGTATAAGGGGAGGGGTATAATCGTGGGATTTCAAAAGTACGAAGTTGATTGTTGGTTTTTATTGCTCTCTCTCGTATAGGTGAACATGGTTCATTCAATTCTTAGGGATAAGAAGGATCCACTGGGAAGACTTGAGTAGTATCTTCCTTAGCCGGTTGTCCTTCTCCTTAGTTTCTAAACTAGCATATTCGTGGGACATCAATAGTGGGAAGGTGATTGTTGGTTTTTATTGCTCACTCTCGCATAGGTGAACTTAGCCTCTCTTTTTTTGGTCCCCCCGTTTTCTGTTGGGTTGTAAATAGTCTATGATGGAGCTCAAGTAGAAGGATTAATTCATTTCTCAGAGGGCAAGGATCCAGGCTGCATTGATGTGGCCTAGAAATGATTAGATTATATATTTAGTAGCAGCATAACTGAATGTTACTCTATGGATGTTCCAAAGGGGTGAACAAAAGCGTATACATAACAGTCTTCATATTTACTGCCATGCAAGACTCTCTATCCTTGAGCTTGGAGGCTCGGCCAGGAAAAAAACATTCTTTAAACACTGTCAACCGCATGAAAAATTCTGGCATTGATCTTTGAAATGTCGTATGACCTTAGCATCTTCATCAGATTTACAGAGATGGGTCCACTTGTTAAGAGAGCATTGGTTTCTTGCAGGACTCCTGTGTCTGCACTAGATAATCAATTAGACTGGTGGAGAATTAGAATCAATTTGCTAAGCAAACTGGAAATTTGATATAACAAATTCCAGCAACCAAAATAACATAAAACTAAAATGGCAAGAAGTCTAATGAAGAAAAATTAAACTCAATTAGGACATTATCGTTCTTCAAGTTATCTTTCGTCAAATTTTATTTTTAAGGTCAGTTCAGTAAGGTAACAATTGGTTCATCGGTATTTTAAGAATGATCATGTATTCGCACAACATCCAGTATTTGAGCTCCACACATTGGACATTTTCCGCTACTCCACTGCAAATCATGAGCACACTTAAAACAGGTGCACATATGCCCACATCTGAAAGAACAGAAAATACATACTACGATCAGTACTATGGAATCCTTGCCTGAAAACATCACTCATATTGGATGCTGTGTGCTTCAAATGACTATAATTTCGTGGAAATTTTACACAGTTGAGGTACCTGTACAAAAGAGAATCAACTTGCATTTCGCAGCAAATACTACATCTTCCTTTGCTTGGGCCTTTATTCATTGAATCTTTTCTTTCCTTTCGATCTGCATTTCATCAACTCTTAAGTTCATTTTCCAGTTTGGACAAACAAGAAGAGAACAGAAAATGTATTGTGTATTTAATGGAATTTTTCTCATATACAACCACATACATAAGCCATGCAGACAGGATAATCTCACAAGACAGAAATTCATGAGTTAGGGGTTATAATCAATAATCAGGATATGAAAAAATTTCTATGTAAAAGGCTTCCAACCACCCTCAATTTCAAAAATCACCTGAATGACTTAGAGCTGCATCAGCCTCTTGCTTGATGGAACGTTGTAATTTAACCTGCATACTGACACAGCTCTTTATTGTTCTTCGTAGTTCAGACATCTCTCGGTGGAGTTGCTCCATTTGTCCTCTCAAATCATACATGAAATCCATTTCCTGTAAGCCAAAATCTTTAAATTTGATCTCAAATAATAAGGGAGATCAAAAAAGTCAATGCAAAAAGATCAAACAACTGACGTACAATTGTATGGTGGTTAGTAAAGGAAGAGAGATGACGATTATCCTGGGAGTACGTATTTGATGATAAAGATGGTTGCTCAGATGGAGATGCAGCCTGATAAGAGTCATCGCTAACTTCATGGCCTTCATTATGGAGCCATGATGGTGGTTCTGAAGAGCCAGATTGATCTGTGCAATCATTATATTGTTGCCCAATTTCACTCTCATCTTATATTCATTGTAATAATCACTATAAGATCTTTCTTCATCTTGCTCATCCTCTTCTTCTTCTTCTAATGCAACCACATCATCGTCCTCACCTTTTTCTTCCTCCTCTATCACTTGTTCTTGTCCTCTTTCCTCCATCAGATTGTTCATCACATTCAGTTGTGGCTGCTGAATGCGAGACATCATCAATTGGTCAATGCGGTCTCTCAGACCACCGGAAAGAAAAGTCGACACGCTTCTTCTGCATATTATAATTATAAAATAAAATCGCTGTACACGACCATAAGCAGGGCATCAATTAAATATAAATCTAATTGAAAAAAGTGTGAGAATTAACTTCTAAATTGATATAGATTTTATCAGTTTCATATATATATAGCCTCATTTTTAAATTCCTAAATATATTTGTGTACTTTTCTTCACTCATAAGTAGATAGTCAGAAATGAGCTTATAATCTATGCCAACCGCAGCAACTGCCATATAGATTGGATGTCATTGTATTCTTTTGAGCGTTTAAACAGACTTTAAAGCCTTAAATATTCAAAACTTTATCCTTTAGTTCATAAAGGAACTATGCATTGCCTATTGTTTACATCTAGAGCTGTACTTTGATTTTTATTTTTAATTTTGGCATCAGATAACATTCTTGGATGATGATCAAGGCATTTATTTAAAAGTAATGTCAATTGTATCTGGAGTCGTGACTAGACAATAAAGGTATAAAAGCTGAAATACCTTTCAAGAAGAACGCGTATGTCTTTATTCTCCAAGAAAGGATCAAGCATCTCACAGTATCTTGCTTCCCTGAGATCTTCCCAATCACTACGTGGGCGTGATATTTCACTTATCCAGTCTGTATTATTTTCTGCTTGTTGCTGATAATCAGAATGTAGTTCTTCCCATTCATCCTCTGGACGAGCACGATCATCAATCAAGTCATGATTGGTTCTGGTAAGCTGTTGATTAGAAGTCACTTTTTCTTCTTCTGCATGTTTAATTTTGTTAACATCGATAAGGGGTTCTGCTGTCTCTGTAGATTCAGCCAGGCCATGACTGTTGGCTTCACAGCCTGTCCGTTGCCACATAACATCTGATAACGGGCTTGCTTCCTGATGGAGGTGTTTGGAGTCATGTGATTGGAGACTGCTTTGTTGAATATTTTCATTGACTCCATGGGAGATGCATTCAACTTCCTGCCGTTTGGATGTTGAAGAGGTTTCTTCATCTAGGATGGGATCTGCTATTTCTTTATGGGAAATTATTGAACCATTTGTTTCTTGACATGTTTCTGCATCTAGGATGTGATCTTCTAATACTTTATCGGTAATTGAGGAGTTATTTGTTGCTTGATGCTTATTTTGTTCATCTGGTTGATTCAACATATTTTCTGCTGATGCAGCATTATTTACATCATCTCTGTGAGAGTTCTTTGAGTCAATTGCACGCTTTTGAACTTCTGATTTAAACCGTTCCCTGTAAATATTTAAGAAGTTCATTGAGTTTGAGAAATGTTCGTAAATGAAATGAACTGACATATTGTGAAAAATGACAGAACTGACAATTCATTCAACAACTATTTCCTAAATTGGAAGAGTAAATTTTTGACTCACAAGAATAATGCTATCTAACATCATTGGTATTAGATCACCAGTCTAGTTGTCATTCAAGCGATTGGATGTAATAAATGTGATTTATTTTCCTACTTTTAAGGTGAGTTATAAATTAATGACACTTGCAGGCCATCCAGACGAGTGCTTAGCACCAATGGTGCTAAATAGCATTAGTGAATGTCACTATTCACTACTCAATGTTATAAACTTCCATGTTTTAGGAAATGATTGTCAATTAACTGTTGTAAATTAATGTTGTCATATGTGAAGGGAAAGAACCACACACGGGTTTCCATAAGCAAAAATCTTGAAGGATCTAACCTGATATGTGTGATGGCAGATTGTGTAAACTTTTTAAATTCAAATGATGTGCTGTTTACATGTCGACCTTCTTTAGCTTCAAGTCCACGGCGAAGAAATCTAACCCGGAGCAGAGCCTATTTACAAAGAATGGTATTGTTGGCTATTAAACAAGCAATGATCTAGGAGCAGTTTGAGAGTTGAATTGTACCTGAATGCGGCCTCTCTGTGAGAACTTGGAAACTGCTTTACGTGCTACAAGTCCTTCGAGCTCCTTGTGTCTCTCGCTCTCCATTTGCACAAGCAAATTGTTAAATGTGCCACGTCCCCTGATGCGTGGTGAACTCAGAACAGAGGAAAAACAACTCTGTTCTGATTGATCCAATGACATTCTAACAAGAGGTGACGATTCACAACTGGAAATATGCTCCTGCTCATTATTTTCTTCAGTACTAGATGTCAGCTTTCTAATGATATCCGCGACCCTGAGCCTCTCCCTTTCTGTTGCATCAGAATCTCTTCCCATTGAAGAAGGCGGTCCACTCAACGCCATTCTATCTGATTCCCAATCCTCAAATGTTTCCTCATTCGTAACAGGTCTTTCATCACAAACATCAGAATGTCGCGAAGGGACATCAATGCACGAAACATTCTCTGCCAAAGTGGTGCTCGAATTGCTCCTGGTGCTACAAAGAGGCGAATTACTCTGCAAGCACTTGGCCTCGGCTTCAAAATCTCTCCATTTCTGAACCAGGGAAGAGACACCTCGTAAATTAGGAATCTCGACCGAAGTTTCAGATTGGATTGGGGAATTCTCCCTTTTAAATACAGAACAAGCACCCAAAGACATACGACCATGGCTCTTTCTATCACCAGCAAAGACCATTTCTCTAGCTCTCGCCCATTTATCTTCATCATTGGCCTTAATCTTCCCGTGATCATTTTCATTGTTCTTATTATTATCATCATTATTCTTTCTAATAAAAACATTATTATCAGGAGAAGCAGAAACGCTGGAGGGGGCGGTTTGCCATTGGGGTTGATGAACCCATAAATCAGTATAATCAATATGATGATGAGGGTGCGAATTCTCATCAGAAACACAGTTACTAACCAGGTCATTGAGATTGTTCTTGAAGGGCGTGGCGGTGCATGGATTCCGGCAGCTATGATCCCTCCTGATGGCACAGCCAAAAGGCGAAGAGGAGGCGAATTCTACCTGAGAAGAAGCCATATTTTCCTATGAAAATTCAGACCCATTTAGTGCAAATGGGTAGAGGAGGAGGAGGAGGAGGAGAACCCATTTGGAAGAGAGAGAAAGATTTTTGCTGCTAATCAGCCACAAAATCTCCATTCAAACGACAACAATAACAACAACCCATTTCTCTCAACTTCTCTCTCGCACTATTTTCTCTCAAATATTCTTGATATCCCTCAATTGGNTTTCTTGGCTAGCTTTGGTGCCAACTGGGGCTGACAAACAACTCCCGATCTTTGCTTAAGACATAATATCGATTTAAAAGAACGAAATAAGTCTTACCAGGAACTTGAATAGTGAGAATGTATGTATCATTGTCTTGTGACCATTCCGAAGGAGGTTTAAAATCTTCATAAATTGGTCGGACACCACCCATTGGTGATCGATACGGTGTTGTACCACCACCACGTCTATGCCTCGGTGTTGACATTCCTACCACTACAAACTCTCTCTTCTCGAGTTTAATATGTTATATTAGTTTCTCTATGATCAAACTTTGATATCTGTAAATATTGTTTGATTGCCTCAACTAATTCTTGGTATTTAAACAATTTTTTTTTTCGCTTTCTTTTCTTAAGAATGAGACCATTCCAATTTTATTGCTTCCATAGTTTGTTTCTATTGAGTTTGGTTTATCCCAAGTATATCTTACTGTGAAGATAAAGAAAAGTCAAAAAGTTTTGTTTGGCCTACAAGCTTTTCCAGATGCCAAGGGTGACTGCTTCAAAATGGACATGCATTGACAATTCTTCAACATGGCTTGACGTCGATTCTTGCTAGCATTAATCTTAATTATATGTTTTCTTGAAATTAATCCACTGATGTGGTCGTTTTGATGAAGGCAATTTGAACACTTAAACGTGTTTGATTGATTGCTCATACAACATTCATTTATGTTCCCATCTTACTTTTTTACTTGGACGAGATGGGAAGTTAAGCCCTCGTTTGGCACCCATTTTTTTCTCATTCTCATTTTTTTTTTCTTTCTTCATTTCAACCACACATTCTATCAATAAAATAATATTACAAATAAACCTAAAAATTCTCCTTACTTTTTAACTACATATTCTTCCATCAATCACTATTCAAAAACACATTCTTTCACAAAAATGGGTGTCAAACACCAAGTAATTTTCATTAATTTAGAAGATACGGTTAACAAACGTGAAATTTTGAAAACAAATTAAAGTTTAGTGACCCGATTGGAACAAATTAGATTTTAGAAACTCAATATTTCACTAAAAGTTTCAATGAAATTTATCCTCTCTCTATTTTACATATTTTCTTCAACTTCTTTTTATATTACCATTGATTGGTGAAAATTAAAATCAGATTTTTAGTAAATTTTGATAAAAGTGGTTGAAATGTATAGTTGAAAAGTTAGAGTCCCATAAAATATGCAGTTAAAAATAATTGCTAACTTTAACTTTAATAAAAATCTATAATATTGGTAACTCATAATGCATTTAGTAGGTAACTAATGACCTATTTTGATGTTTAATCTCAACAACGTTTTTACATTAATTGCATCAAAATTTGTCATTTGAGCATGTCAATGTCTTTAATGTTGTCCATGTGAAAGTTTCATATATTACTTTTACATTGTATTTTTTCCTAATATTTAATTTACCAATAATTTTGCAAATATTTAGGCATAATGGTTTCTTAAATTAAACTCCTCTCATCTTATCTCACATTACATCAAATTCAATTTTTAAAAATTGCCACTACAACTGACTTCATACTCACTTGAAATATAGTTCATTAAATGTTTTGTTACGTTACTTGACTTGGTGTTTTCAAACAGGAATAGGAAGAATTTTATTAAACTAATGTAAAATGAAAAATATCAAAGTGTCAACTAAATACGAAAGAGTATTAAGGACTTGATTATAAATTCAAACCTCCAAATTTTTTTATAATTTTCAAAATCTCAAGAGATGATAGTGTTTCATGATTGTAATTAGGGCTGCACAAATAAATCGTCAAACTACAGAGTCGAATTGAATAGAATCGTTGGTACATAACCATTGATTTTGGTCCACGTGAACCGTCAATGTTTTGATTACCGTGCTGCCACGTGAACCGTCAAATTTTGGTGTGAACTTACCTTAAGGAGTTAGCTAAAATTTGGCACCAATGTCAAATTGTATGGATAACGTTAAGGGACATTTTCCCATTTTCAAAGTGGACATGCCACAAAGTTGTCTAATATTAGACGTCACCTAAATTGTTTATGCTTATGTTTGCTACCCTTGTTTTCTAAACTATATGTTCTAGAGTCGATATGATCTTATTTAAATGTTTCAATACAAGAGTAAATTGGGTTATATGACCGCTACTTCACAATATCCGGTTAGATATCGTCGTGGCAATATTGTGTGTTGTTTAGTATAAAGGCTTAACTTCATTATCGTGTTCATGAATGTTTTCATTTCTAAGCAAACAAAGAGATCAATGTCCTTAGAGAGAAGTAGAGTCCGGGCATTGTTAGGTGATAAAATCGTGGTTTAAAATCAAATCGAACCGTAAAAAATGATTTGGTTTGATTTGGAAAGTGAAATAGATTGGATTGACTTGAAAAAAAATTTCAAATCGTTTTAAATGATTTGATTTGAAAATAGTATAAAAATTACAGAAATCAAACTACATTCAACCCTAATTGTGTTGTATATTGAATGGCAAAGAGGTAAATGAAGTTGAATTGCCAATCTATATATATATAAAAACAGAAGTGCCGTCAAAAAAAATTTCCCGCCAAAATGTACCTTCCTCTTATGGAATTCTGATTTTAGTCCATCTACCCATTAGTCAAACATTACAGCATGCTTTTATTGATAGTAACAATTTCATTTGTTGAGTTTTATGTCATTAAATCATTCTTTTTTTAAAAAAAAATGTTTGAAAACCGAAAAGTCACTATAACCTGCCTTTTATATATAAACTTCTTTGGATTATTATCATTTTAAACGTTTAAGTGGTTTTGTGTGTACTAATTACATTATTATTATGGTTTTGAAACTTAATTAATGTTTGATTTTATTATTATTATTATTATTATTATTATTATTATTATTATTATTATTAT